TACATCCCATGAAATTTACAATGTTGTCTCATTGTTTGTCATTACCTTTAATGAAATTATTGATTGATTCTCCATAAATCTGACAGGTAAACTATTTCTTGCTCTCCCAATTTACTTATACTATCAGTCTTTATATCTAAATTATGTACCCATTTTGACTTCATCTTAGTATAGGGTATAAGATGTTGATCTATGCGTAGTTTCTGCCATACTATTTTCCAATTTTCCCAGCAGTTTTTGTTAAATAGTAAGTACTTCCCATAGAAGCTGGAGTCTTTAGATTTATCAAATAGTAGATTACTATAGTCATTGACTGTTGTGTCTTGCATACCTAAACTATTCCACTGATCAACCACTCTATTTCTTAGCTGGTACCAAGTAGTTTTGATGATTGCTAATTTAGAATACAATTTAAGATTTAGTACAGCTAGACCACCTTCCCTTGTATTTCTTTTCATTAGTTCGTTTGGTATCCTGGACCTTTGTTCTTCCAGATGAATTTTACTACTGTTTTTTCTAGCTCTATAAAATAATTTTTGGTAGTCTGATTGGTATGGCACTGAATAAGGAAATTAGTTTAGAAAGAATTGTCATTTTTATCGTATTAGCTCAGCCTACCCATAAACAACTGTTATTTTTCCAATCATTTAGATCTGACTTCATTTGTGTGAAAAGTGTTTTGTAATTGTGTTCATATAGTTCCTGAGTTTGTTTTGGCAGGCAGACTCCCAAATATTTTATAGTGTTGACAGTAACTTTAAATGGAATTTCTCTTTCTATCTATTGTTATTGGGCTTTGTTAGTAATATATAGAAATGCTGATGATTTATGTGAGTTTATTTCATATCCTGCAACTTTGCTAAATGTGTTTATTATTTCAAGTAATTTTTACTTCATTCTCTATACCATCATATCATCTGCAAAGAGTGACAGCTTTGTTTCTTCTTTGCCTATTCTAAGTCCTTACATTTCACTATTGAATAACAGTGGTGATAATGGACATCCTTGTTTTATCTCTGATCTCACTGGAAATGCTTCTAGCTTATCTCCATTACATATAAAGCTTGTTGATGGTTTTAGATAGATGCTACATATCATTTTAAGGAAGACCCCATTTATTCCTATGCTCTCTAGTGTTTTAATAGGAATGGGTGTTGTATTTTGTCAGATGCTTTTTCTGCATCTATTGAGATAATCACATGATTTCTGGTAGTTTTGTTGTTGAGATGTGGTCAATTATGCTGATATACTGATAATCCCTAATACTGAACCAGTCTTGCATCCCTGGTATAAATCCTACCTGGACATAGTGTATTATCCGTGAGATAAGTTGCTATAAACTCTTTGCTAACATTTTATTTAAAAAATTTACATCTATATTCATTAGGGAAATTAGTCTATAATTTTCTTTCTCTGTTTTGGTCCTTCCCGGTTTAGGTATCAGCACCATATGTGTATCATAAAAAGAATTTAGTAGGACACTTTCTTCACCTATTTTCCCAAATAGCTTATATAGTATTGGAATTAGTTGTGCTTTAAATGTTTCATAGAATTCACTTGTAAATACATCTGGACCTGGAGATTTTTTCTTAGGGAGCTCATTGATGGCTTGTTCAATTTCTTTTTCTGAAATGGGGTTAAGTATTTTATTTCCTCTTCCCGCTAATCTGGGCAATTTATATTCTTGTAAATATTCATCCATTTCACTAAGATTGTCAAATTTATTGGCATACAGTTGGGCAAAAGAGCTCCTAATTATTGTTTTGATTTTCTCTTCATTGGTGGTAAATTCACCCTTTTTCATTTTTGATGCTGGTAATTTGGCTTTCTTCTTTTTTTAATCAAATTAACCAAAGGTTTATCTATTTTATCGTTTTTTTCATAGAACAAGCTCTTAGTTTTATTTATTAGTTCAATAGTTTTCTTAATTTCAATTTTATTAATCTCTCCTTTGGTTTTTAGAATTTCTAATTTGATATTTAATTGGGGATTTTTCATTTGTTCTTTTTCTAGCTTTTTTAGTTGCATACCCAATTCATTGATCTCCTCTTTCTCTATTTTATTCAAGTAAGCATTTAGAGATATAAAACTTCCCTTAAGAACCACTTTCACTGTATCCCATCAGTTTTGATATGTTGTCTTACCATTTTCATTCTCTTGGATGAAGTTATTGATTGTTTCTATGATTTGTTGTTTGACCCACTCATTCTTTAGGATTAGATTATTTAGCTTCCAATTAATTTTTAGTCTGTCTTTCCATGGCCCTTTATTACATGTAATTTTTATTGCATTAGGATCTGAAAAGAATGCATTTAATATTCTGCCTTTCTGCATTGGATTGTGAGGGTTTTATGCCCTAGTATGTGGTCAATTTTTGTGAGGTGACATGTACAGCTAAGGAAAAGGTATAGTCTTTTATATTCTCATTAGATTTTCTCCAGAGGTCTATCATATCTAACTTTTATAAAATTATGTTTATCTCTTTACTACTTTCTTATTTATTTTAAGGTTAGATTTATCTAGCTCTGAGAAGGAAAAGGTAAGGTCCCCAAATAGTATAGTTTTAGTATCTATTTCCTCCTGTAACTCATTAAATTTTTCCTTTAAGAATTGGGAAGCTATGCTATTTGGTACATGTTGTATTGATATTACTTCATTGTCTATGGTACCTTTTGGCAAAATGTAGTTTCCCTGATTATCTCTTTTAATTAGGTCTATTTTTGCCTTTGCTTTGTCTAAGATCATGACTGCTACTTCTACCTTTTTTTTACTTCAGTCTGAAGTATATAAGATTCTGCTTGAGCCCTTTATTTTAACTCTGTGTGTCTCTGTTTCAAGGGTGTTTCTTGTAATAAAATATATATACACACATATATATACGTGTATATATACACACGTATATATGTGTGTATATATATATATATACACATGTATATATGTGTATATATATATATATATATACGTGTATATATGTGTATATATATATTTGGAGTCTGGTTTCTAATCCATTCTGCCATCTGCTTCCATTTTAAGGGTGAATTCATCCCATTCACATTCACAATTATGATTATTGTGAATTTTCCTCCATCCTACTTTCTTCTGCTTATCCTTCCCTCTCTCTCTCTCTTTTTACCCTGTCCCTCCTCTAAAAACTGTTTTGCTTTTTACCACTGCCACCCTTAATCTGCCCTCCTTTTTATCAATCTCTGATCCCCTTCCCCTAATACTTCCCCAGAGAATAAGACGGATTTCTGTACCCAACTAATTTTGTATGTTATTCCCTCTTTGAGCCAATTCTGACAAGAATAAGGTTCAAGCATTGCCCGCCACCACTCATCTTCCCCTGTAAATGCTCTTCCTTGTACACCTCTTTTATGTGAGATAATTTTCCCCATTCTGCCTATCTCTTCCCCCTTCTCCCAGTGCACACTTCTTTCTCACCCATCAATTTTTTTTAGGTCATCCCAAAAAATCAACTCATACTTATGCCCTTTCTCTATGTAGACTCCTTTTAACTGCCCTAATAATAAGAAAATTCTTGGTTGTTACATTTATCATCTTCCTGTATAGGAATGTTTACAATTTAACCTTATTGAGTCTCTGATGATTCCTCTTTCATATCTGCCTTTTTATGCTCCTCTTGAGTCTTGTATTTGAAAGTCAAATTTTCTATGAATCTCTGGTCTTTTTATCATGAATGCTAGGAAGTGCTAAATTTCATTAAATATCCAGTTTTTCCCCTGAAAGACTGTACTCAGGACTATACTCAGTTTTGCTAGGTAGTAAATTCTTGGTTGTAATCCTAGCTCCTTTGGCTTCTGGAATGTAATATTTCAAGACTTTGCTCAGATTGTCTCCATGTCTGGAATGCATTCCATCCTCACCTCTGCTTTTTAAAATCTCTACATTCCTTTCAAAGTTCAGTTCAATACTTTTTGTGGTAGCAAAAACTCAAAACAAAACACACAAACATTGATTAGGGAATGATCAAAGAAACTAGGATATAAGAATGTAAGGAAATATTACTGTGCTGTAAGAGGCAAAAAATATGATGACCACAGAACATGGAAAGACTTACATGAACTGATGCAAAATGAAATAAGCAGAGTCAAGAAAATAATATTCACAGTGACTACAATGTAAATGAAAAAAAAACACCATAAATAATCAAAAATTAATGTTACAAATTTTAAAATTATAAACTTCTCTCCAAAGAAGAGGTATGAGAAACACTTTCTCCCTCATTTCTTTAGAAGTGGAGATCCATGGGTGTGAAACACTGTATTTTTTTCAATGTATTAGCTGGTTTTGCTGATTTCTTTCTCTTCTTCCTCTTTTTCTTTTTCCTTTTAAAAAATTCTTTGTTAAAAGGGATAGCTCTTTTCATGTGAGGAGGAAGAGAGGTATAAGAGGAAATTTAGGCAATGTAAAAACAAAGATATCAATAATGTATTTCTTAAAAATAGCTAAGCTCATATACCCTCTTCTAAATGAGACCTTTCCTGTTCCCATCAGCTACTAGTAGCACCCCTCAAAATTAACTAACATTTACCTTATTTTGTACCTACTTATATGTACAGGTTTTCATACATATTGTTCCCCTCATCTCACAAAATATAAGCCCATTGAGGGCAAGGGTTATTTCATTTTTGTCTTTGTATGCTCAAAAACTATAGAACAGTGCTTAGAGCAAAGTAGGTAGTTAATGTTTGCAGTATGACTGACAGATTGACATTCAACACCATCCATAAATATTTTTCTAAAAGGAAGAAAAGCTATAGTTCCTCAGCTAAGATAATCATAGACGAAAAATCAATTCAGTATGTCTTTTTAGAATTCATAAAAACACTCTTGAAAGAACTGAAATTTAATTCTGACTTTTCTATTTTTAAAAATGTTAATTTAAAACTTTTGGCTAATTAAAACCAGCAACTTATTTGGAAAAAATAAAAGAAATACCCACATAAATAAAATGGAACACAAAAGAACTGAGAACTTACGCATTTCCATAAACAGCTGCCTCTTCTCTGCCATGGTCTTTCTCTTGTTCCCACTTTCCTCAATCATCCTAGACACACAGAGAGATAAAATACTATATAACTTAACAATTCAACTAAATGTTTATCATACTACTGCTGTCAACTTTAAAAAATACTCGTGCATATATTAAAATTGAGTTGGTAAAAATAAGAAGTTGGAGACCTAAGTTGGAAAAAAAATCATTCATCATCTTTATATCCAATAATCATCATAATCATCATCATCATCATTATCCAATTTACAAGGTATTTTCTCATATACAGCATTTCATTTAAAACTCACACAAAAGTTCTATACTCCTAGTGACCTTACACATACTCTGACAAATTCTACTAAGTCATAAAGATTGGTATGTTCCCAGTTATCTACTGCATCTAAAAATACAGAATGAGACACAAATTACTGGACACATCCAGTATGGGAATTGGTTTTACTTGGCTATACTTACTTGTTGCAAATTTTTTTTACTTTTTTTTCCAGGGAGGTAAAGGATAGGAAGGAGAAAAAAATAAATGCTTGATAATGTTTTTTAAAAGGAGTACTAAAATTTCAGTAGTGCAGTGTTTAGGTATTGAGCCCAGAGTCAGGAAGACTTGAGTTCAAATGTAGCCTCAGACACTTAGTAGCTGTGTAACCCTGGGCAAGTCACTTACCCTATTTGCCTCAGTTTCCTCAACTGTAAAATAGAGTTCATAATAACATCTGCCTCACAGGGTTGTTGTAAGGATCAAATAAGGTATGCATTAAACATTTAGTATAATACCTAGCCCACAGCAGATGCTTAATGAATGCTTATTCCCTTCCCTCCATTTTATCAGTAGGAATTACATTAAAGAAGCAGCATTAAAATTTGCTTTGTCACTGCACCCTACGGACCATGGGACTTTCCATCTCACTTGTAGCTAAAACATTCCATATGTGTTGTCTCCCTTTCAAATGTGAGCTCCTTGAAAGCAAGGACTGTCTTACTTTTCTATTTTTATTCCTAGCACTTAACATACAGTGCTTTGCACACAGTAAGAATTTAATAAGACCTTAATTCATTCATTTTTAAATATATACCAAAATATTCACAGCAGCACCCTTTGGAGACCCAGGATGGAACAAAGTGAGTATCCACTAATTCTGAAATGGCTGGGGGGAAAAAAACCTATGATATATGTTTATAACATTATATTATTGGTAGCAACGTTGACAAAAATGAAGAATTTGAAGACATGAGGAAGATCCATATTAACTGATACAAGCCAAAATAAACAGAATGAACCATAACAGGACACTGAAAATCAGTGTTTGCTGTTGTAGATATACTACCCAAAGTCTGTCTACCTAAGTCCCTAGAGGCTATGACTATCTGAGTTATCCTAAGAAGGGAAAGAGCTGAAACTTCATGAAAGGCAAGAAATAAACAAGCAAGAGAGTTCCAGTCAGGAGTTCCAGTAGTACCATGAGTTCATTGCTTCCACTACCAGCTGCTGCAACATCATAGGTATTCACAGATCACCCAGATGGCTTCAATCATGATACTGAAGGAGGAAAGAACAAAGAATGCTATGGCTCCAATATTAGGACAGTGTTACCCAGGCTAATTGTATACTGGGTAAATCAATTTAGGGGCTTCCACCCCTTGTTTTGTGGAAACAAAACCTGATGAACTTACACCCCCATCCACTGCCTCTTCCCATACCCTTTCATTTTCTCTCTAGGGTAAAGGTTCCCAACTGGGGGTCCATGAACTTGTTTTGTTAATATCTTGGTAAGTGTATAACGATAAAATTGTTTTCCTTTGAAATCTTGGGTATTTTATTTTATTTTATTTGATACATTGTTCTGTGTTGGAGTTCATAGGTTTTTACCAGACTGCCAAAAGGGTGCATGACAAAAAAGGTTAATAACTTTGCTCTGGATAAAATATGATGTCTCTGGCTTAGCATTTTAATTTCTGAACTCTCTGATTTCTACCCCATACACTGCTAAAAGCACATAAACTTACCGTAAGAAAATACACAATAATCACAACAGTATAAATTATAAGATCAATAAAACAAAGTTGAATACTGACTAATGGGAAAACTAATGAAAGTACTGAAGAAGAGATAATGAAAGGTATATCCTTTCTCACAGCAAAGAGGTGGATGACTACTAGGACAGAACATTAGTGTCACATATGGTTACAGCAGATGTTTTTTCCTTGAATGTTTTTCTTTGTAATAAGGGACAGTTCAATGTGGATGGGGGGATAGAAGAGAATGACTATCTTGAAAAGACAAGAGGCATCAATAAAATATATGTTTTTAAAAAGAAGGTTATTACCAAAGTCCAGGAGAGGAGAAAAAGTAGAAGCTACAAGTATAGACAGTTTTTTCTAGGAAACTGATTGTGAAAAGGTCACACAAGATGTTACCTTGAAGGACTGGTAGGATCAAGTAAAGAGTTTTTTAAGGTCTAGGAATATGTGAATATCAGAGAAGGGTCCAATAAAGATAAATATATGCATATACACATATGTATATATAATGCATGTATGCACATATATACATGTGTATATATGCACGTACATGTATGCATATATGCATTACGTGTATGTATACATGTGTGTACATGTGTATATGTGTGAGTATATATAAATCAAAGGCACCATAAACTATAAACCAAAATATTTATAGCAGCACTTTTGTGGTAACAAATAATTATAAACAAAGTGGGTGCCCATAAACAAGCTGAAAAAAAAAACTGTGGCATATGAATGTAATGAAAAATGAATGTTATTTCTAAAAATCATATATAAAATTAGTATATGGTATGAAGCAATAAACAGTCAAATAGATAGAACCCAGAGAATAATATCTACAATGAATAAAAACACATGAAGATAACACTAAAAGGAAGAAATGCTTATCAATTGAAGAATAATTTTCCAGCCCAAAACAACTTAGAAGGTCAGCAGGAAAGGTCTGTTGCACCAGGTGAGAGAGGATCACAGTCCAGGGCTGTACCAGCACAGACCAGAACCCAGAAAACCAGGCCTCTGGGCAACTGAGTCGGTGGCAGCAGTGGTAGTTTCCAGATCCCCCAGCCCACCGATGATGGCGGGGGGGGGCAGACAATGGATCAGAGGAGGTTTACAGGGGTCCCTCTGCTGGCACCAGGGGCAGGACTTTATTGCATTGCCTATTGTTGTTGTTGTCCTTCATACTCAAAGAAGACCAGACGACATCACTATGTTAGAGTCAAGTTTTAGTGTGTCCAACTGTGGCTGATCAGACCAATATGAGCACAGAATGTTCTACAGATCGGGCACAAAGAGTTCATGTGAATATTTGGAGTGGATTCTCTAAATTTGCACATCTCACATCTCTTTTGAGCTACTTCAATTCTGCTTTGCTCATAGAGCACAGCACTTTCTCTAATGAGAGCATACCATGTAGGGCAGTCCTGTGTCAGTGTCTCCCATGTCACACAATCAATTCCAAAGTTCATAAGAGAGACCTTGAGAGTGTCCTTGTATCACTTCTTCTGACCACCACGTCAACACTTGCCCTGTGTGAGTTCTCCACAAAATAGGCTTTTTGGCAAGCATACATTTGGCATTTGAACAATGTGACCAGTCCATCAGAGTTATGCTCTCTGCAGCAGAGTTTGAATGCTCAGCAGTTTAGTCCAGGAAAGGACCTAAGTGTCTCTAGTATCTTATCCTGCCAGGTGATCATCAGAATCTTCTCAGACAATTCAGATGGAAGCAATTCAGTTTCCTGGCATGTCGCTGGTATACCGTCCAAGATTCACAAGCACACAGCAATGTCAGCACAATGGCTCTGTAGACCTTCAGTTTGGTCAAACACTGAGCTAGCTCTGGCAATGCTTGTGTCAACCTCATTATCAATGTATGGCTCCCTGGAAAGTACACTGCCAAGATAAGTGAATTTATCTACAGCATTCAAAACTTCTCCATTTGCTGTAAACAATGATTCCACATATGGATGGTGTGGTGCTGGCTGATGGATCACCTATGTTTTCTTGGTGTTAAGTGTTAGGCCAAAATTAGCACAAGCAGCAGAAAACTGATCCAGACTTTCTGGCACGTCAGCTTCAGAGGCTGCACTGAGTGCACAATCATCTGCAAACAGAAAATCATGCACCAGCACTCTCTCCACTTTGGTCTTGGCTTGGTAGCCTTTTCAAGTTGAAGAATTTACCATTAGTGTGGTAGCTGACCTTGATGCTGTGTTTGTCTTCACTGAAGGCATTTGATAACATGGTTGAAAACTTGCTAAAAAGCTTGGGAGCAAGCACACAGCTTTGTTTCACTCCATGGGTATCTGGGAAAGCATGACAGCATTGTCCATCATCCAGAACCCAGGCAAGCATGCCATTGTGAAATTGACATACAATATTGATGAACTTCCAGGCAACCAAATTTTGACATAATTTTCCATAAGCCCTCACGACTTGGTCAGATCTACAAATGTTGTGTACAGACCTCTGTTCTGCTCCTGCACATTTCTCACGGAGTTGTCAGGCAGCAAACACCACATCGACCATTCCTAAACCCTTTCTGAAGCCACACTGGCTCTCAGGTAGATGACCATCTTCCAAGTGAAGGATCAGCCTATTAAGGAGAACTCTGGCAAGAATCTTGCCAGCAAGGAGTAAGAGAGAGACACCCCGCCCCCATGATTGCCCCAGGACAATCTATTTCCTTTACCTTTATAGAGCTGGACAATGGAGGCATCCTTGAACTCCTGGAGGATAACTTCCTCTTGCCATATAACCCAGCTCTTGTATGAGCAATGGACTTCTAAATCTCAGCTGGAATAGAATCAGCACCAGGTGCTTTGCCACACAAAAGGAGCCTAATGGCATTCAAAGCCTCTTCTTCAGTTAGAACTTCAGCTAGGGAGGGATTGACTTCAACCTGAGGTAAATAGTCAACAGCTTCAGCACTGATTGATTGATGACGGTCTGTTGTGTACACTGTGGAAGTGTTAAGCCCATCTCTTTAGGAACACGTCCTTGTCAGTAATCAAT